ATCATTCACAGCTTTTTCCACGATATGTTTTTAGTTATTAACGTAGACCGATACATTACTTGACATAATGAAATGCTCAGTTTGTTCCGGAAATTTTCACCTGAAACTATTTTGCGATTGGACACTAGTCCGTTCTCCTGGTCATACGAATCAAACCAGCTCCAGTAGATGCGAAAGACTTCAGGTTCAAGGTCATTAGGATACTGGTAGTTCATATTGTAGAACATGCTGCTTTTATCTCTCATGAGATCAATTCATCCGTTGGTTGTCACTAGGATCTTCATTAAGATGCGGTCAAGATGTCAAGCCGTGAAACTGCCACATTTGTTAGAATTACTCTGATTTCTCATGGGCATAACTAAAGATGTTGTCGAGTGTGCTGACAGGGATCGGTGAATCACATCGATCACCCATTTAGCGCAGTTAAGAAATGCTGTTTCTTAAATGCAATGCTGTCAGCATTGACACATATTCGAGGGTCATTCCGCAATCTGGTGCGATACACATAACAATTGAATAAAGAAACTGAGGGTGAGCCAAGATTAACCATCGTAATTGCGTCGAAACCTACCGAATCAACATTCGCGGAACGTGTCGAGACGGGATTGTAACATAATTGGAGTACATGAAAATGGATCGTGAAAATAACAGTCTGAAATTGGAATTGAACCATTCACGTAATCTCATTTGAATGAAAGCAATTGTAGAGTTGTGAAACGAGGAGAGCGTATATCGCTACGCAAGCACCTTTACCTCATACCTTCGGTGATTTCTGGGAGATGGTTTGGCAGGAACGATCGAATATTATCGTTGTTATCACGAAACTGGTCGAGCACGGAAGGGTTAATATAGCATCTCATTTTGGTTCATTTTAGAGCTGACGTTCAATACATCCAATCGTTCCGGTGGTTTTTATGCTACTATTGCATTTAACATCAGTAAAATGAATAGAAATGTTAAAATTAACAACGCAAAGCTGTGAATGCTTTTTTTTGCGTTCACATGGTTCAAAATAACAAAGCTCATTAGTAGTGAGTTTTTTTTTTCAGCGTAAATGTGATCAGTATTGGCCTTGTTCAGCGGGGCAATCACAAACGCATGGTAATTTCACGGTAACGCTCGACCTAGAACGGCCCAATGCACATTTCGTTCATCGTTTCTTAACACTCAAGTCTTCACATTGCCTTATGGTAGGTCTATTTTATCACACTTATTCAGGTATAAAAAACATGCATCATATAATGATTACTAGTAATCATTGTTGAGTTGAAATCACCTTGTTCTGAGTTATAGAGGGGAAGATCTGTACAGTTGGAGGCAATTTCTCGGTAAAGGTGGACAGTTTAAATCGGATCATCCGAAATTAGTTGAACGTGCTATTCTTCGATTCTGAAACGTATCTTGCTTTTCTTCCGGTCCATGTCAATATCAAAAAGCAAACGATCAGCGTTTATACAATTCAGAACGTGGCTATAATCTGAGCACGACATTTTGTTGTCTCTATCGATGTAATGTCAAAGAGGAATTTTCAGACGGAGCGCCAAGTCCACCAGGTGCACTTTACTTCTTGGCCGGACCACGGTGTACCGTCGAATGTATTTCCGTTGTTGTCTTTCTTGAAATATGTATCCGATATTCACAGCACAGGACCGATCGTTGTTCACTGCAGGTAACTGAAATTTGTTTCTCGATTGGGAATCGGTTGATGAATTATTGCACAACTGAGGTGAGCACCCGACGTGAGAACCACCATCCTAGTTAAAACAGAGCAAATATTATTTGGAAGAAATTTCCTAAATTATTTCACGAATCTTCGACTGATACTGTCGCTAGTGATCAGTGCGTATAGTTACGTTTCTCTGCGGCTTCCTTCACAGAGTAGTTTCGCAATACGACTTTCTCCATACTTAAGCAAATGGTAAAAGAATAATTCAAAATAATAAATGAAACACTGCCGAAATCAACGATTGCACGGTCACCATGTAAGCGTTGATAGAATTTCATTTTCAGTGCCGGTGTTGGACGTTCAGGGTCTTTCATGCTAATTGATAGCATGCGAAGGCATTTGGTGGTTTCTGATTCACTTAATATTGAAGCACATCTGAGGCATATACGGCAGCAGAGAGCGAAGCTCGTGCAAACAGTGGTAACGTTTTGACACATAATATCATATTTTCATTTTATGTTTTCAACTGACATGATAACATGCAAACGTCGATATTCCTGGTCTTCAAATGCACCATTTCAGGAACAATATGTATTTTGTCACGAGGCGATTCGACAATTGATTGCTCATGGAACAACTCGCGTTCACATCGATAATTTTATCCATTACACGCATTATTTGTTCAACGAAGTCATCAATGGTCGTACACGTTTGCAAATGCAATATGAGGTTTTTGAACTCATCGCTGATGCTTTGCTCTGGAAATTCTTTGAGGGCACAGAATAAGATTCTATGAGGACTGCAAACATCTTGCAGTAATATTTGTGCGCGTAGATCATTTGTTGAGCAATTATAAAAAA